ATGTGGTTGAGTCACCATCCCTGGAGGTGTTAAAAAAACGTGTAGATGTGGCACTTCGGGATATGGTTTAGTAGGCATGGTGGTGTTGGGTTGATGGTTGGACTTGGTGATCTTAGAGGTCTTTTCCAACCTATGATTCTATGATTCTTGCTGGGCATATTTCTATCAGGGTTTCTCCCTGAACTTCTTCAGTCACCCCACCCCTATCACAGGGACACCAACGGCTCCCTCCACTCCAGATTCCTCCCCCAGTTCCTCAGCTCAGGAAGATAATCTGCCCTGCCCTGCCCCACCCTACCACTACACCCAGGGAGTGGAGGCAGACACCCAAGTAAGAGCAGGGAGTAGAGGAAGGGAAAAATCCGCCTAACACAGTACAAGAACAGCCCAGCCTGGGACAAAGAACAACTCATACCTGAACTAAAAGTTGGGATTTGCAGTAAATGAACCTGGAGATGATACTTTTGGAGTGTCTGTCTGTGAAACCTGAGCAGATCCTGGCTCTTTCAGGGCTCTGACATGAGAAGGGTAATACTGAACCCAGGTCCTCACCAAAGGAGCTCCCTCAGTTTGATTGGATTGGCACTGCAGCTGGGGCTGGCACATAGCACAGGGCAGCTATGGGGTGCTGTGGGAAACAGCAGTGGTTGCAGCTGGCAAATTCTGGATGGTTTTGGTAGAAGTCTATGCCCGTTTGTTACAGGAGTGGTTGCTCTTCCCAATCCCTGGCTCAAAGGCTTTGAGTATTTACCCTAGGGCAGAACAAAATAATACATACCTAGAGATGCTCAAAAGCATGTCAACAGTGTGCATGAGCATCCCCTTACTCCTGAAGAGTCAGGCCTGCTGTCCTCCTGTATATCTAAAAAAGGCCAGACAGATAGATGGAAGCACTGCCTTGACCAGCTTAAACATGGCCCCTGCATTAGCTCCAGTTCCCAGCACTCTCAACTCCCCTTTCCTTAGGACTAAAATGCACCTCCCTAGGAGCTGTGTATCTTCCTTAGAATGGGACAATTTAGGTAAGACCAAATATGAAAACTTTCCTGTAGAGAGGTGCATAATCATGTAAGTGCATTGTTGTGTGGTTTTCATGGCCTTTCAAAGAATGGAGAACATGAAGGGAGGGGGGTGTCTATGTTGTATTCAACTTCACATCATGGCCTGGGGATGCACCCTCTTTTCTTTCCGAGAAATAAATTGGCAGTAGGTTGACCAGAAGAGCCAGAGCCCCTCCTCCTGCCTGCGTGTCTCTGCACTCAACACACAGCATAGCTTGGGCAGAGCACAGAAGTCACTAAGCCACAAAAGAGCATCTTAATAACCCTGGCTCCTAAAAGGCTGCGGGGCGGGGGTGGGGGTGGGGGGGGGAGGATAGTAGGGGGCATGCCCTTGCTTAGGACTACTTATCCAAAGGAATACGAAGCAGAAGGATTTCTACAGCTCACACGCACAGCTGTCAGAGACAGGACAGTGGCTGAACTGGACCTCTGATCCAGTCCCCAGAGGCCATCGCTTTATGCCTGAGGCCAGAGTCTAGCTCACATTAGGAAAAGCAGTGGCTCCTGTGTGTGAATGTATTTTGGGCTTCTGGAAATAAATAGAGGCACCACAAGGGAAACAAAAGTCTTCAAAGTAAAATTACTGGCCTGCTGTGCTTTTCCTTAACAAGCTGTTTTTTGGCTGGGCTGACCACTGGAATGCGAGTTGTCCAGCACTTCCACAGCAGTTTTTTGGTGTTGTTTGATACATTCCTCTCTCCCAAGCCTAGCTATGTCTTTGAGTTGGACTACATTTTAATTCACAATATAATATATGGTGACAATTAACAGCTCTACCAGTGTAACAACCTGGCATCTCCACAGTTTCAGCAACACAGGCCTATCTGCAGAGTCTATTTGCAACTCATAAACTGTGTTGGTGTGAAGCCACATTTTCTTTCTTTTTTTTTTTTTTTTCTTTAACAGTGAAGCATTACCTGGTGAAATGCCCCCAGAACAGGTAGGAGATTACACGTCTTTGTACTATAACCCAGGGTACCGGTTCTGGTTTTGTTTTGCTGTGTACGCTGAAGATGATGAGTAATGTTTTCCAGAATGCCTACAGGAGGATAAAGGGTCGCAGATCCATGACTCATGAACATACCTGCAAGGCAACATCTGCTGTGCATGATAAGGGAGATCTACCTGGGATGTCTAGCTGTCAGTCCTGTGGGTTCTTCAGTGACAAGCCTTTCCTTGAGGCTCTGAATTGCTTTCTGGAGAGGCCTGCTTTCATCCTGTGTGGCTTTCTAGGGTTTCCCAGCACCTCAGCAGATGGTAATGGCTTAAACCTTCCATGTACATAAAACAAATCACAATGTTACCCAGTGATTCTTGCTCCCTGCACAGGGAGTGGGGCTCAGAAGCAGATTTTCTAGGTCCACAGTCTATTTCCAGCTGAAGACTTGAAGTGGTGGGTTGCTGCAGTCATTAATCACTGTCCCTTTAAATACCACTGGCTGCCAAAAGTTTTGGATTGTGTGGTGCAATAAAACTGATTTGCATCATGTGATCTTCTTGAGATACAAATTGTGCTGGTACTGCAGTAAGAAAAAAGATGAAAAGTATTTTACAAACAGTAAAGATTAAAGAGGGATGCCTCATAACAACACAGAAGAGCAGCTGTTTCCCAGTTTTCAGTGATATAAACCACATGTTTCTAGCCTCGTAGTTTAAATCCAGTATCACTTGGAGAAAAATGAGACCCAGCCGAAGAGATGACTGAAAAAATGGAGCATGGCAGTCAGATAAAAAGACTTGTAGTACAGAACCTGCCTCTCTGAGAATACATGATGTGGTAGTGATACTACTGCAAATACTAAACTTAGGAGGCTGAATAGCAGGGGGAAAACAAGCCAATATAATTTCTTCACTGTAAAATGGAGTCTTCAGAAGTGAAAGACATAGAATCAGAGAATGGTAAGGGTTAGAAGAGATCTTAAAGATCATCTGGTTCCAATCCCCCTGCCATAGGCAGGTTGCTCAGAGCCCCATCCAAGCTGGCCTTGAACCCTCCCAGGGACGGGGCAGCCACAGCTTCTCTGGGCAACCTGTTCCAGTGTTTCACCACCCTCATGGTGAAGAATTTCTTTCTAATATCTAATCTAAATCTGCCCTCTTTTAGTTTAGAGTCGTTCCCTCTTGTCCTATCACTACACACCCTTGTGAAAAGTCCTTCTCCATCCTTCTGTAGGCCCCCTTCAGGTACTGGAAGGCTGCTCTAAGGTCACCCTGGAGCTTTCTCTTCTCCAGGCTGAACAGCCCCAACTCTCTTAGCCTGTCCTTGTAGTAGAGGTATTTCAGCCCTCTGATCATCTTCGTTGCCCTTCTCTGGACCCGCTCCAATACATCCACATCCTTCTTAAGCTGGGGTCTCCAGAGCTGGATGCAGTACTTCAGGTGGGGTCTCACGAGAGCGGAGTAAAGGGGCAGAATCACCTCCCTC